CGGCCGGCCCTGCCTGCCTACGCCGGGGACGGGGAGGGAGCGCGCGCGCCGCAGGAACCACTCGACCAGGTAACCTTCGTTTGTCAAAAAACAGCGTGATGTATTTCGTACGATGGCATTACAACGTGAAGTTAATGTCTGTTGTGAGACAGCTGAGGAGCACACCTCGGAACCATTTATACACAGTACAAAGCAAATGTTTACCCAAGTACAAATGAAACAGGTCGACAATTAGCTAATGTAGCTTTGTGGACATAAACCAGGTACATTCGAGCAGAACCAACATAAAATAAAAAGGAAACAGCCCTTTTCCTATCCCGTGCTAAGAGCACCACGGTTAGTGGTTTGGGAAGCCTCTGTCACGTTGAAAAATCTCCTTGCCGGTGTTTAATGTGTTTATTCTACCGCTACTCTGCCGGGATAAAAATAACATCAGCAGGGCACGCTGGCTGTACGCAGGACCCACTGTCAATACTACAGGAATTGACAACATACAGTTAAGTCTCACACCTGTTTATTGTAAGTAATTCATAGATAACCACTTCTAGTACACATTTTCATATTGGCTTTTAATGCTTTTGGGGTTTGGTTTTTTTTTTAAGCTCAGGGACGCCCAGACTTCACCTAAGGGTCATCTCTGCGATTTACCCAGACCCAGACCGCTACACCTACTATGTCAAACTGGTGCAAGTTGGTATCGTGGCCAGGGGTAACGGAGATGGCTTGGGAACTCCGCACCCCAACATGCAAGGCCCCACCAGTGCGGGCTGCTCTACGCTACGGGAGGGAGGAGTTTTGCCGGGGAGCATTCGCCTCGCATGCCTCGCTTCGAGGATCAGCCTAAGTCATGCAGCTGGCTGCACGCAATGCTCTACACAGTGCAAAAACGAAGACCTCTACACACCTGGAGTAAGAACAGTGGTAACAAAGTCATAGCTACATATTCTTCTCTACATTTTTGTTTATTGAGACAAACTAATTAAAAGGCACAAACATAGGGCATATGTTTACATGGACATTATAACAAACATATACATTAAAAGTGTAGGAATGTGTTTCCTTTCTGCTAAACAGAAAGTTCCTAAGCTTTTATATATACAAAAGTTGTACAATTTGATGTCCTAAAGTACAAAAGATCATTTATAAAATTATTTTACACTAAGCTCTATTTTTTTTTTTTTGTTGTTTTTGTTTTACTATGTAGTCCAAGCCCCTAGAACAGTTTCACGTAATGATACAGATACCTGTCACCTGAGCCAGCAGCCTGGCAATCACTGCTTGCACTGACACGGCCGGGTAGGAACGGAAGCAGTCCACTTTGACTAGTCAGTCCTGCTAGCACTCTGTGAAAATGCGCACACGCTAATCTCCATAGCTTTCAGCTTCATTAAGATAAAAACATCTCAACTGTAATTTCTTTTTTTTTTTTTTCCTTTTTTTTTCTTTTTTTTTTTTTTTTAACGTAGAGTCTTGGGTTTAGGGTGGTTTTTTTTTTTTTAAACAAAGTTTTAAAAACGTGAATATGTGACATGATAGTCTAAAAAGTATATCTGTTTCCCTAGATTTTGCTTTCTACTTTATGTACAGATAAACAGGTTAAGAAATAAAAAGCACATGTAGCTTAAACATGTGTGACCATTTGTGGAGAAGTTCTGGGCTGGACAGGTCAAACCATCACCCCAGAGCTCCCACAAATTGATAGAAATGTGTTAACACAATAGAAGAATAACGTAAAAATGATGATGTTTGCAAATATTTACAAAGTTGAACAGATTTGCACAACACTTGATTAAGAAATAGGGGAGAAATTAAAAGACGCTCTCTGCTTGTCCTGGAGGGGCATCCTACCTAGTTAGTGGTTAGAATAAAAACTGTATACAATTTAATATAAGACAAAACTTCTAGTGAACAACTAACACGTCTGTCCCCTGCTGTAACACCAGCAGGCTCTGATTGGGAGGCAGAGGGCATAAAAATCATACCCAGTGCCTCCAGAATCTTCCAGCTTAAAGCAATATTTCTTAAGTTTCAAAGCACTCCTTTTGCTCCTAGGTAAGAGTCCCATAGGGGTCTGACTGTTCAGAGACCATGTTTACATACATTTCAACTCCTCTTCTGTCAGCCATGGCTGTTTCTCACCAAACAATAACAGGTTTTTTTTTTTTTTTAAAAATGTTGACTACAATGCTATATTCCCTTAGGGTAATATGTTGGGTAATATTTACATCTCCAAATATCAGGTCACAATCCCTATTATATGTTGAAGTTAGAATGATAAGTTATCATATGCTTTGCATATCAGAGCTGGTATCACCTTTCCCATAGGGAATGCTGCCTGAAATTATCATATTCCCAAAGGTAAAATGCATATTTTCTCCAAAATGCATTTTTTTTTTTTTGTTTTTCAATGACAACATTGTAATGCATTTACTCATTAAAAAAAAACAAAACATCAACACAGACAAAGATTCTACACTAGCTCAGAAACAGTGGACTTAACAACTGGCAAGTTAAAATTAGCCATCCACCCTGTTAGAGATACAGAGGGGTCTTTGCTAGTGTTTGGATTAAAATAATTTTCTAAGTTATAATTTGGGGTATAAAACATAAAACTGTTTTTTAATGACTTTTTTTTTTTTTTTTTTTTAAACTCTGGCAAATAAGTATCTGCTCTAATTCAACTTCAGTCAGCTAAAAGGTAAAACTTACTTTAAATGAAGTGCTCCAGTGAAACTCAAGTTTGAACCATAAAAGCCAAATCAACAGGGGAAGATGCTACTATGGTCTCTGATGGTGCATGTTGCCCCGGTGTCTTAGTCTGGATTTATTATTAACTCAAACAAAACAAAACAAAACAAAAAAAAACAAAACAAAAACACCCCCCCCCCCCCCCCAAAAAAAAACCCCAACCAAACAAAACCCAAAAAAGAACTGCTGGTAAGGATTCCATTTTAATCCTTTTTAATACTGTTTAGAAATTCTTTACCAGGGAGGAGACGTGGGCAAGGCCTGGGGCAGGAAAGGCATGCTCTCCACCGGTCTCATCGCTATATTTAACGGACCAGCTAGCGTCATGGGCGTGGGGAGGTTCATGGGAGATGTTATAGTGACTGGATGTGCTATGTTCACTGGAGCGGTTACTGGGGTGGGTAAATTGACTGGTGTGGTGAGCGTTAATGGAGATGTCATGGATAATGGACTTGTTATAGTTACAGGATGCCCTAGGTTCATCGGACTGGATATATTAACTGCACTTGATACATTTACTGGACTTCTCATGCTCATTGCAGCTGCCACTGTGACTGGGTTTGTGATAGTCCCAGAAGCCACAGAGGACGTTATATTGAATGGAGTAGTAAGAGTCACAGGCGTAGTAGCAGCAGTGGAGGTTTGGCACAAGTTAGCAGCTTCTAAAAATGAGACATAAAAAGACAAAAAGTTTTTAACACATAAAAAACCATGGACAAGATTTAAAAAAACCAAAAAACAAAAACAAAAACCAAACAAGAACAGGTACAAATTCTGGAATAATTTTCTTTAGGAATTATTAGTAAGTTAAAACTGTTAACATTCTATAGCCTACAAGAAATACAAACTCTCATGCAGTTCATTTCAATTCAATATTTTTTTTTTCCTGAGAAGTCAAGCGAGGTTGTCTTATAAAGAGGGTTTTGATGTTCATAAAAACAGTACTGTACAATCAAAAAAATCCTCCCAAGAGGAACATTATAAATAGAGGAGAGAGTGTACATACCGAATGGTACGTACTCTATAGCCTTCTCAAAGGTGAACTGACATTCTGTGAAGGTTTTAAAAAGTCATTATTAGGGACTGATAAGCAAAGCTCGTTTCAATATTTACCTGCTTATTTCAGTCTTAATTATTGCTACTAAATTGTTCCACTGATCACAGTACTTCTACTTAGCAATTTTCAAGGCTACCCAGTCCGTACTTCTTTCAACCCCCATTATCTCCTCAGCTTTCACTTAAGCTACAGCTCCACACCAAGATGTTTTGTGGGGTTTGGGGTTGGTTTTTTTTTTTTTTTTTTTTTTTTCTT